CTGCACATGGTTTCCCAGAGTCAGTTAGAAGCAGCTCTGGTGAGTCTTGGTGGGCTTTATCGACCATTGTGATCCAACACTAAGCACAGTAACTGAATCCACCAGCCGGAGATCCAAACACACCAAATCCTTTTCTCCTTAACCCAATTTTCGCAAACCAAATACTAAAGCTGTGGAGGGTGGGGAGGCTGCAGAAGATGGACTAGCCTTTCAAATGGCACCCTGTGACACGTGTCCAGCATCCTCGACAGCTCTGAGTTGTAGTTGTCACCATGTGAACAATGGTAAAGCTTATCATGAAAGAATATCAAAGATTTGACTCCAACCACAGATTGTGCCGGAGATCCAAAACACACCAAATCCTTTCCTCCTTAAAAGGAGAACTATGAGGTCAGGGCTTTTCCCCATAGTTCTCCTTGGGGCAACGGGAGGACACAAACTAGCGTCCTCCCGTCACCCTAAGCTCAGTATATAGTGAGCTACAGCTCGCCGTATACTGAGACGCCGCAGCCGGAGCGGGTCTCGACATCGATGTCGAGATCCACCCAGCTGCGTGAGTGACAGCTGGCTCTGCCTATCTAGCGGCAGAGCCAGCTGTACCCGCCCCCTCCCCCGTCCGTTCCGCCAGTCAGCGCTGGCGGAGCGGGGAGGGGGGAATCCAGCCCCTCCCCTGTCACGGCAGAGAGCCGTGACAGGATCGAGAGGTGAGCGAACGCCGGTATATGTTCGCTCACCTCCCGATCTACTGAGCCGACCTGTGACAGTCTCATTGTCACAGGTCGGCTAGAACTATGAGGTGAGTGAAAAGCACCCCCCCCTCATAGTTCTCCTTTAACCCAATTTTTGCAGCCAAATGCTGAAGCTGTGGCGTATCCTACAGCAGATGGATTGCCCTTCAAATGGTGCCCTTTGACACATATTCAGCATCCTCGGCAGCACTGAGGAGCAGTAGTCACTATGTAAACAACAGTAGAGCTCTGGAGTTTGATGTTAACTCAACACAAAAGCACTCCAAACTTGGGCCCCCTTGTCGGCCATATTCACTCACAGTGAAAGATTAACCCGACATCTGCCCTTAACAATGTCCCCCTCCCCATGTTCTAGGTCACGCATTGGTCGATACAAAAGCATGTCAGACATTTTTCTCTTTTGACTTGTAAAGTTTTCTCGTTTGTCAGGATGGACCGGATTCCACAATATCTCCCCCCAGTTCTACAAACCCAATACCTGCGGAATCAGCAGGTTCATCAAGGCTAACGGAAGAAGAGAAACTAGTAAATGTTTTATATGTTGAACGTTGTGAGTCAGAGTTTGTGTTCTTAATGTGTTCCTGTGCAATTGTAAAAGCTATAAATGGAATTGCTGAACAGCGGGTATGGGTAGGTGCCAAAAACGGGATTGTCTTGGCTGTGGAACCCCCGGAGACATTGGAAATGGGATCTTGGGGATATTCTGTGCAAATACAGAGTCTGAATGACTCTGCCGACCATGTGACTGCGCTCAGGCCCGGTGATAGTTCATTCAAGGACCGTGGGCAATTACATGGGGCGGGTGGGGTGTTTACGCATCCTGGTAGATGCCATGAACACAGGGGCCTTTTGGCACTCACTTTTTAGCACTTGGGAAAAAGAGAACGGGGGAGGACAGAAGGGAGGGGAAAAGGGGGAGGGACAAAGAGAAAAGGCAACGAGGGGGAAAAAATAAAGAGCAAACAGGAAGGAAAGAAATAGAGAGGAGAAAAATAAAAAAACTCACCTGCCCTGCACGTCCGTGCGGGTGTCTAAATTTGCCCCACCCCTTCCTGTTTAGAACATTTTGCGCAACCTGTCAGTCACTGGATACAGCAAACACGGGGTCCCAGGGGAGCTGTGCATGGTCTCTAGTGGGCTGTACGGGGTCTCAGGAGAGCTGTCCCTTTCCCTGCATACATGTGCTGCTCCTCTTACCAGCAGCCCGAAGTGCCATCAGTACCAACAGAATACATTGCAGTCCACCAGCCTGCTTCTGGGACATCCCAGAGCCACCCGCTGCTTCCCCTCCACCTCCTGTACAAAACCAGCCGGACCGCATCTCACTGGGCCCTCCCCTCCACCAGGCAGCTCTCTAATTAGGCAGCCGCTCTTAGTGCCATGCGGCCGCCTAGTTTGCCTCATTAGGAAGCCGCCACTGCCTGATTCTGTGCCGCCCAGCCTCGGCCCACCAGGCAAGTGCCCAGTATGCCCAAAGGTAGGTCCGGCTCTTTCTACCTCATTGGTTTTGGGCAGCATTTTCTGCCGCCCCCCCCCTGGAAAGTGCCGCAGGCACAGGATACACCCCTGTCCGTACTCGTACGCTGAGAGGATGGATCCTGCCTGCGTCAGAGCCCGGACACCCACACTTGGGGTGAGCGTAGGGCGGCGTACGGCCGCATACTCCCTTAGAGAAGGACAGGCTGCTGTGTACTAATCACACGCAGCACCTGTCCTTCCCGGGAGCTGCCCGATACGGCCGTGCACGCAGCACGGAGCTGTACTTGCCGGCCTTTTCTCGTATGAATGAATGAGGCCTTAGAGTTGAAACACTCCCCCTTCATCAGGGCTATGACACAAATAAAAACTTATAAAGTTTTATATGTCGATAAGACATAAAAAAGAAACTTTATCTCACTCACATTAGTAACATTTGGAAGGAAATATTGTAAAAATACCACCGAGGATATATGAATATACGACAACACACAATGGATAATTGTTACTATTGTAGCCGATGATATTTGCAAACAGCGAAAGATAATATATAACCATCGCTACAATATAACAGAATACACGCTCATTCTGCCAGGATCAGAGTTTACATTTGGAAGCAAAAAGCACAACAATACAGTTTGAAGTTTGGAAGTGAAAACAAAACAAACAAACAAAAAATTATGAATGTATAAACACAGGGCTACAGAGATATAAATATTTCCTATTGGGAAACACTCAGCAGGAAATACTTTTTATTTCTATCTGTGTTGAGGGGAAATCTCTCTAAAGTAGCAACACCCAACAAAGGTTCCAATCCTTCCCTATTCTATAGATAGAAAGAAAGGAAGGAAGAAAGGATTAGGAAACTGAAATAGGAAGGAAAGGAGAGAAAAGGAGAGAGGAGAGGAGAGGAAAGGGAAGTAAAGGAGAGGAGAGGAAAGGGAAGGAGAGGAAAGGAGAGAGGAAAGGAGTGGAGAGGGAAGGAGAGGAAGGAGAGGAAAGGGAAGTAAAGGAGAGAGGAAAGGGAACGAGAGGAGAGGAAAGGGAACGAGAGGAGAGGAATGGGAACGAGAGGAGAGGAAAGGGAACGAGAGGAGAGGAAAGGGAAGGAGAGGAAGGAAAGGAGAGGAAGGAAAGGAGAGGAAAGGAGAGGAAGGAAAGGAGAGGAGAGAGGAAAGGGAAGGAGAGGAAGGAAAGGAGAGGAGAGAGAGGAAGGAAAGGAGAGAGAGGAAGGAAAGGAAGGAAAGGAGAGGAGAGAGGAAGGAGAGGAAGGGAAGGAGAGGAAGGAAAGAGGAAAGGGAAGGAGAGGAAGGAAAGGAGAGGAAGGAAAGGAGAGGAGAGAGAGGAAGGAAAGGAGAGGAGAGAGAGGAAGGAAAGGAGAGGAGAGAGGAAGGAAAGGAGAGGAGAGAGGAAGGAAAGGAGAGGAGAGAGGAAGGAAAGGAGAGGAGAGAGAAAGGAGAGTGGAGCGTAAGGAAAGGAGAGAGGAGAGAAAAGGGAAGGAGAGGAAAAAAGAGAGAGGAAAGGAGAGGGAAGAAAAAGGGAAGAAAAGGAAAAGGGAAATCAGGAAAAGAATGAAAAGAAAGGGAAAAGGGGAAGAGGGAAAGAAAGAAATGGGAAAGTAAGGAACGGGTTAAAAGGAGAGAAAGAAGGGAAAATAAAGGAAAGAAAGATAAAAGTTTAAGGTGGACACAAACATCAAGATTCCACCCAAGATGACCCCCGAGCACACACCACCCGCAAACCCCCCCCACTACCTGGGCTCCTCATTAAGCGGCACTCCACTCTGCATCTGAAAAGTTGTTCCTGCGGCGTCTCGGCAGCGTGATATGTCGTCCCCAGGTCTGCCGGGTAGGCCACCATGCTCGAAGCTGCGGCAGAGACTGAACTGTGCGGCCGCAGGGTATAGCAGGCCCTTCGCTTGTGCCTGAGTCAGCAGGGCGAGGACTGGACTTTTCTATGGGGGCCACTGAAACCCCCCTGTGACACCGCTGTGCCGGCCTCTATTCACAGCTCTGCCCTCACTGCTGACCAGAGCAAAAAAACAACAACTGTCCATTCACAGAGCCGAGCATAAAGTACACACGGTGCAGGTCACACATGAGCCGTGCACAAACTCACATACACAGGACACACAGTTCATCCAACTAACATGAGAACATTCATACATGACACAGTGAGCCGGGACGTGGAATTGTTTCCAGAAACTTTTCCTTACACAGGAGAGGAATGGAGGTCACACATACACAGAACACAAAGGAAGAAACTCATCGGGGCAAATCCAACCTGCAAAGGATATGCAACCATTTTCATGCTCAGTTTTAACACCTTGTGCTCTATGCACGTCTATGTATGAGCGCTTTGTGCCCATATAAAGAAGAGCATCAACACAGACAAAAATGGCGCTCATAGGTGTAAATATTAGGGATGCACCAATACCATTTTTCCCAGACCGAGTACGTGTACCGATACTTTTCCTCATGTACTCACCGGTACCAATTACTGATACCTTTTTTTAGTGTCATGTGACAGTTTTTCAAAAACAATACACAGACTAATGATGGTCTCCAGTGGAGGATCTCAGGAGGGCTGCGTGGGGGGTCTCAGGAGGGCTGTGCGGGGTCTCAGAAGGCTGACCAGGGTCTAGGGAGGCTGTGTTGGGTCTCAGAATGCTGTGTGGGGGTTTCAGGGGGCTAAGCGGGATTTCAGGAGGGCTGTGCCGGGTCTTAGGATGCTGTGCCGGGTCTCAGGAGGGCTGCGCAGGGTCCAAGGGGGCTGTGTCATGTCTCAGCATGCTGTGTGGGGGTTTCAAGGGCTAAACGTGATCTCAAGGGGCTGTGTGGGGTCTCAGAGGCTGAATGCGGTTTTAGGGGGCTGTGTGGGGTCTTAGGGGGCTGTGTGGAGTCTCAGGTGGGCTGTGCGGGGTCTCAGGTGCCATTGTAATAATAGTAAATCCATCTTATAAAATGTAAATCCATCTTATAAAATGTATGATAGCTCCCCTTCTGTCATGCCGTGCAGCGCTGATAAACATCCCCCACAGAGGGACCGACGTACAAAGGGTCACGATTGATTGTTGACATTAGTTGAGGTAAGTCCGAGGTCAATGAAGTTATTGATGTGCAGTAACCGAAAGATAAACGGTATGATGTAAACCGCGCCAATCTGATCGACAGATCAAACATTCCAAGATCACAACGCAATCAAAAGGCATGTAACGGTGCCTGTGAGCAAGTGTCAGGAGGTGAAGCTGGAAATGAAGGGGATCTTCCGTCCGTGCAAAATTAACTTATTTCTATTTTATTTCAGTTGTGGAAACAGAGCGAGAACTTCGTCTTCACCCACGCCGGGACTCCATGGACTAGAACCTTTTCATGTCATACCGATACACCTCGAGCCGTGATTCTCAACCTGTGTAACCTCAGGACCCACCTCTGTCTTTGGTCATTAAGATGCGACCCAAGTCACACTGCAATGAAATGCACGATAATTAGGAGTACCGCGTGTTTCAGTGCGGGGACGTACGAGCTGCGGGTGGGAGGTGCGTTTAGGGAGAACCATTCAAATGAATGGCAACCCAACACACTTCCCACACCAGAATGCATGGTAGGTGCAATTGCATGGCACAGTGCGTTAATCGCTCGGTACTATGCGATGAACGCACTCTACTAGTGTGAACGGGCCTTTAAAAACACCGACAAACATACACAACCACAGACACAATCTGCTGAACTGTGATGGAGCTCCAGTTATATGTGCATTGCGTGTGTGTGCCCTGTAGAAGTGCCAGGAGCCAGAATGTGATGTCACTCCGGTCCAGGCACCTCTACAGGACACATGAGGGAGCTAAAAACCAATGCACATACGAATGGAGCTCCCTCACGGCCATGGCCCCAGCCCACCTCAAGCGGACACTCGTTGCCGGGCAGCATATTCTGAATGGCTGCTTGGCGTGAGAACTGACATTGCTGCGCTTGGGGGGATGCAGAGGAGCCTCTCAGCTAGAAAAGTGGAAGGCATGCGCGAACCACTAAACATGGGCTCACGACCCACTTTTAGATCACGACCCACTAGTTGAGAACTAAGGACTTAGATCAGGGGTGCCCACAATTTTTGTGTTAAGATCTACTTTTTAAAATGACAAGTTACATGAGATCTACCAATGAAAAAAAAAACTCCCTCGCTCTCTCTCCTGGCTGTCATTCCTCGTTTTTTCTACTCTCTCCTGGCTGTCATTCCTCGTTTTTTCTACTCTCTCCTGGCTGTCATTCCTCGTTTTTTCTACTGGCTGTCTCTCCTTGCTGTCTCTCTTCTCTCTCTCTTGGTTGTCATTCCTCGCTCTCTCTCCTTGCTCTCTCGCCTTGCTCTCTCCTGACTGTTTCTCTTTGCTCTCTTCGCTCTCTTGGCTGTCTCTCCCCGCTCTCTCTCCTGGACCTGACTTAGAGGATACATTACATGTAGGGTGAGGTTCCACTGATAACAATGTATCAGTCCTCATTCTCCTGGAGTATAAATAACTCAAACAATAGTCCCATAGTGACAGAGATACAATGTGACTCCACTGAACCTGCATAACCCAACGATAGAGCGGAGCAGATTCTGCTCTATGGTAATCCATCGGGATCCTCCGGGTTTATCAGGGGTGCGATAACACGTATATCCAACAGGTGAAAGTCAAGGTTCAAATCTCGAAGGATCTTAAAAAAAAGGAGTCAAGGATGCTAGAAAGAAGCTGAAGTGCAAAACACCGTCAACCCTGCAGTCAACAACCACAACCAACATGTATGCACACATGTAGGACTCTCTTTGAGACCCCGTGATCTTTCTGGCCACATGTAAGCACCATCCTGGCAACATGCTTTGCCCTTAACGCCCAAATCTGGGAAAACTAAAAAACTAAAGTGAAGTGTATTCAAGTCCCTGAACTCTGAGCAACAATGTGTCTTATTTGTGTGTCACTCGGCTGTAGATCCTCCAATAATTTTTTAAGATTTATCTCCGGAGTTTAGTCTTTAAAGTGACATTATCACAGGGGAAGAGTGTCAAGAAAAGTGTCAGAATGTGTTATTTCTATACTTGTTAAGGTATGTGAATGGATTTTTAAAATGTAACTTCCCTGTTTAAGTGTCACTTATCCTTGCAGTGGGGCTGTCCTTGCACTGAAAGGGTTAAGTGCTTGTTCATGACTAGAGAACCAGAGGCAAGCCCTTTTAATTTACCTGGTCCCCCACTCTCTTGGCGGTCAGCGTTCACCTTTCTCTGGCCGGTGGACTGTCCCTCGGCGTCCTCACGTCTAATGCAGCTCTATGAAACCTGCGTTAGACATGAAGACATAAGCGGTCCTTGTGTAGAGGAGAGAAAGAACGGATGCACCGCTACATCGGCCAGAAAAATTGCGCTTTCGGTCGATATGTTTCGGCGGCCGATATATCCGTGCATCCCTAGTTATAGTATTTATTTTCTATGCTCCTCCGCTCCATCTAGTGGCCATAATGCAGTATTATTAGTACATTCAGCCAGAAAAAAAAAAAGGAATCTGTTTGCTGGACTTTATAACTAAGGAGAAGCAAAACTGCGAGTTCATCACATGTCCCTTTATATCACCAGAGGGTGACACCGCAAGACAAAGCCCGCCACGGTCTGCCTTCCTTTGGGAACCTTTCCGCCTCCATCCTTTTGAAGGATTCCTATGGCCCGCTCCTCTTGTAAGCGGTCTGACCAATTCCCCCTTTAAAGCCCCCAGTACATGAAAACACGATAGAGCGAGAGCACCATGCAGTGCAATACTGCCCGACCGGCTTGCAGCACTGGCACTCCTGATTTCTGCTATGCAGGAAGAAAATATAAAGAAGGGTTGCAGGTGATTATACTGGCGGCAGCACCTCAGATCCTTCTGATTGATTGTTTGAATGATTATGTAACCAGACTGAAGGGTTATATTTGGAGTTCAGCAATTAAAATTGATATTCAGCACAGAGTCTATAAGTGTCCGGCTGAGCGGTCCCTGGGTGTCCCCCTATATTAGGGGGGGTCACACGTTTCCCACCGGCGCCCCCTTCTGCTGCATTCTGGTATACCGTGTTTCCCCGAAAAATAAGACACTCTTATATTTTTTTTGGCTCAAAAAAACACACTAGGTCTTATTTTCGGGGGAAGGGCTTGTTTTCTTTTTGAAATGTACAACAATCCGCACTTATTCATGTACAAAAATATGGTGATCGGGGCAATCAGGGTTGCATCGCCCTGCGCCAACACCAAGTACAAAAATAAAAGTGAGCTCACACTAAACACACAGCTCAAGTGTCACCGGGCTCCTGGTCTCCATTGCAGCACATTCAACGCATTACTTTTACTGCGCTCTGCACTGATTGGGGAGGAGGGGGGGTTGCTTCCTTTGGTCTGTATGGCTTCCCTTGCTGCATGCTTGTTCTTGGTAACCAGCGACTACTGAAGGAAAAGGTAGCCAAGCAAATAGCATTTTCACATGGGGGGAGGGGGGGAGGGGTACAAAAGACAGATTTCTCAGGATGAGTTTCCTATAAGAAATGTTACTGTTCAGCTTCTGTATAATATCGCCCAGTGCTGTGTATATTGCTGGCTGGCACAATATTCTATGCAGAGGAGTCTTCGGGAGCAATGGAGGGGGGTGAAGTCGCCATCTAGTGGAATCAATTTAAAACTTCCGTTTCTAGGACAGCAAACGCTATTTGTAGCGCGCTATGCATTGATTCGGTTTAGTGCTGCAACAACTAATCGACTAAAATCGATAATCAATGATGAGAATAGTTGGAAACTATTCTCATCATCGATTAGTTGGAGAGAGAGAGAGGGGAGCGGGAGAGAGAGAGAGGAGCGAGAGAGAGGGGAGCGAGAGAGAGAGAGAGGAGCGAGAGAGAGGGGAGCGAGAGAGAGGGGAGCGAGAGAGAGAGAGGGGAGCGAGAGAGAGAGAGAGAGAGAGAGAGAGGAGCGAGAGAGAGAGAGGGGAGCGAGAGAGAGAGAGGGGAGCGAGAGAGAGAGGGGAGCGAGAGAGAGAGGGAGCGCGTAGAGAGAGAGAGAGCGAGAAGAGAGAGAGAGGAGCGAGTAGA